GCCTTTAGCAAAATAGCTATAATACTACTTCAAAATTGTAACTAAAATTTCACATAAAAATTTTTTTAAAACATGTAACAAATATAAATTTTTGTCCCAGAATAGGAATCAAAATTTAGATGGGACAAATTTGAAAAGGTTAATAAATGATAACATATTTCCACTCATTATCATTTAAATTGTATTTGTAAATTTATATGAAAATACATATATTTATCTACCATATAAAGAGTGATTGTTTATATTCTGTTTTATAGTTGTTCTAGTTATGATGAGTAAATTTTTAACTACAACATGTATGTGATGATTTGCATTACTGCATACACTCAACAGCATTGTTGTCTCAGCATAGGAGTATACTCACAGCACTACTATTTCCTACTCAGAAATGACAAAATGAGAACTGCATGTGTTTTGAGGCTGTGAGTGATGTTAATCACACTTTACACATTATGACCAGACTACACTGCATGGCGCATACAATGCAATAAGAATATAATTTACTAAATTTAAACTCCCTCAAGTGTTAATATAACTGTCCTGTTATCATCCCATTTCAGTCTCTGTAGAATAGATATGTATTTATATCAGTTAAAACAAAGTATGGATTTGATATAAAAAAATGAATTCTACAAATGATCAAATCTATGATAACAAATTTGAAGGCTCAATTATAAAGAAATTAGAGAAGAGGAAAGATAAAGTACACAACATGACACTGGATAAACCAATAGTGGAAAAGGATGTCAAAGAGGCAATTAAAACATTGAAAAATAGAAAAGCATGTGATTTGACAAAATTTCAAACGAGATTCAGTTTCATGTTCATTAAACATCATTTACTCAAAATATTTAATACAGTACCACAGGGCGAAAAATACCCATTCCTTTGGAGTAAAGGATATATTGCACCAATATATAAATCAGGTAACAAGGATGATCCCTCAAACTATAGAGGTATAACAATAACAAGCTGTTTAGGAAAATTATTTTCGATTATTCTGAATAACAGGCTAAACAAGTTCCTTAATGATTATAATATTATATCTAAATATCAAACAAAACCATAACAAAATAAGAAAAAATGGCAAAATTATTAAAAAATCAGTCTCTTTATATGTGTTTTGTGGATTTGGCAAAAGCTTTTGATACAATTTGGAGGAATGGACTGTTTTACAAAATGTACAGAAATGGGGTGAGTGACAAGTTCATCAAAGTCATCAACAGTATGTATAAGGAGTTAAAATCACGTGTTAGATTGGAAGATGGGTACACTAATTATTTTGAAAGTAGGTTAGGCACTCGCCAAGGGTGTCCACTATCACCAACCTTATTCAACATATTTGTGAATGATTTACCAAGTGTTCTAATGAAAGATACACAGTCAGCTGGCGCACACGTGATAATAAAATAAATACAATATTTACTACATGGGGGCTGCCATCTTGAATGACGCATAAAACT